ACAAATTGATCACTTCTCTTTAATTGTTATGGAGATAAATGAATTTCGCGCTGAAATCATTTTAATATTTAAATGATATAACAATTTAATTTTCTGTTAGTTTATTCATTTTCATTTTCTTCTATTCCTAATATTAGTGGTTGGTGAAAAAGAAATTACTAACGGAACTGTCAATGTTCGTACACGAGATAACAAAGTTCACGGTGAGCATCCAGTTGAACATGTTATTGAACGTTTTCGTCAGTTGGCTGAATCAAAAACATTAGAAGCAGAACAAGAATTTTAAATAAAAAATGATACAAATTATGAATAATGTATTTCTATTGTAATTTCAAATTGATACATAAATACATTATATAATGGATTTTATTTTATTTTATTTTCTTCTATCAATTTCAAAATTAAGGTTGTCCACATTTTTTAACTTTTCATGTTTAAAGAACAATGAAGATAGCGAAAAATATCATTATGTCATTTGTTCTGTCAGTTATTTTTACAGTTCTAAGCAATACATAGATGAAAATATTGTGAAAATATTCTAAGAATAGGTGTAACCCACAATCCCATAAAATCGTTACAAAGGACAGATGCCAAATGAAGAGAGATCAAATACAACAACTATAAAGAACACTTTTTAGGACAACGTGGTTTTCCTTTACGTTCTAGTTTATATGAACATCAACTATCTGTAAATTGCCACAATAGATAGCTTTGCTCTAGTCAGTGCAAGTCGATACCTGTGGATATGAATTTGACAGTGAAATAATCGTAATACTGGATTAGAGAAACATGGAAAATGTAAGAAAATTTTAGAATTCTGATTCTCTAGCCTCATCGTTTATTAGACATATTGAAATCGACCCAGTCGACCCGCCAATCAGTAAGAATGTAAACATCAACAAGGTCAGATTAAATGCGAAGACAAAACAAATAAGTTAGCAAAGACTACAAAACTGCCGAAAATGATGCGTCAAAATTTCAGGTCAGCTGCACAAGATATTGGCCAGTTTAGAGAAATTTTTAAAGTCTATGCACACTAGATAACTGAGGCATATCGCGTAAACGTTATTATTATAGTTTTAATAAATTAAGGCGAATAACATAATCTGTATTTTTTGAAATACTGACTAGGACTGTCAGTGATGAAGTGGAAAATGTAATCAAGTACCATAAAAAGAGGTAGAAAATACAGTTTAGTAAAATTGGTAACCTCGGTACAACAAGACAATAATACTGCTCGTTAAGGCGGTTCCGCAATTATGTTGCTTTACACATTGTAGGTATAGTAAAATAGGTTGCATGCATACATCCTTGAAACCGGCTTGCTGCTGTGCACAAATGTCTTATCCAACTTCCATTACAACCAGTTCGTCTAACTTTGTGAATGATCTCGAATGATGATTTTGATGGATTGGCATGATTGGAATTGCTCAGATGTTCTACAACCGAACTGTTCACTGATATAGGTTAATGTCTAACCGATCATGATGAGTAGTGTTTGAATAATATCAAACCAAAATGATAGGAAACACAGTGATTAGTTTCATGTCACATTTGTGTTTTGTTGAAACAATGTATTGATGATATCTGAATAAAGTTGTGTAAATTCATTCATTCAAATTAACCTAATGCATCAGTTTTTAGTGCAAGAGGATATGTGATGTTTATTTACAATGACTGTTAACTGATTGCACTGTGGATCCGAACAGTTAAACTTTGAATGGAATAGTTGTTAATTTGGTTTTGCACATGGTTTATCATTGTTCAGAAATTTTGTGTAAATCTTCAAATGCTGTTATTACAGACAATATTGGATTTTGACTTCAAGCTATTGATGGCTTATTCAAGATATCATTAAATACAGTCAGTAAGTTATATGGAGTGCAGAACATGGCACGTGTGTGTCACAGTTCATTAATACAGTGATATGAAATAATCGGGACAAATCGAGAATTGTACAGGCAGTAACACAGTGTTAGTGGTAATAGAAAATGTTAGGCATAGAAGATACGATTTGATAAGAACATATAAGTCAATGTAAGAGAAAGGTAAGTTTACGGTAATTAGAATGTTTAGAATCTGAGGGAAGATAAGAAGCGGATACATGTGGGCCTTTGTAAACAATTCTATACCAAATCAACCAAGGATTCTGATCATTGGTTTTGATAATTACACGGATTCCAACCAGTTGTGAAGTCTGTAGAGTCGATTGTTATTTCTACTATACGTGACGTATTATCTTATAAATTCAATTACTGCAAAGCAAAAATAAGCTTGTAGGTTTGATTGCAAATTATTTCATGTCATGAATTAAATCTGCTCATTTAATCAAAGAAATTGTAGTATATCGTCTGTCCGAGTTCACTTAGTGAAACATTGAAAGGAAAGGCATTTTGGTAATCTAAGCCTATTTTTTCGCGCATATTATTATTCTGGCCCTCATTAAAGTCAAATGAATTCAAAGCTGAACATTGAATAAAAGTATGATTGATGAAACAGAGTGAGAAGTAGTTCTATAAATCACAAAGATCGGGAATTTTGGTTGTGAAATCTATATAATCTTTCAGATGTGGTTTGCTTTTAAAGCATTAAACGTATTTCTTATTACCTGTTTAGTAAATTTTCAAAGATCGTACAACGTTTTTTTTCATTGATGTAAATTATTAAACAAATTGGTGAAAAAATTCATGTTTTACTGCAGACCACTAAAGCATATGCATATTTACCGAAATTATTCAGACTACTAGTGAGTAGTATATTGTATTTCAGGAAATTAGTTTCTCCCAGGGCTTCTGAAGTTTTGAATAACCACGTAATTGATATATATACCCATCTGTATATTCCTATTTTTAACCAGTTTGGTTGCTTTTGATTAGGTGATTAGGTAAAATATACAAAGTATTTTTTTCTTTGTTACTCATTATAAGTCATGTTTTGGAGATTATCAAAACTGATAACCCTGTCATTCAATGCTTCAGTTATAGACGCTAAAACAGTCAGAATATAATTCATGGACGACCTTTGAGATACAGCAAAGTGACTTTGATAAGACTCACCTAACTACTTGTATGAGGAATCAGAATCAAGATTTAGTGTTAGAAGTTTGACTAAGGATTTAGTTAGGCTCTGTCTTCACGAATTGACATCAGTTATAATCCCAAAATGCTATCAGGCTATGCATCAATGAATTTTACGCTACAGTTGAGGACTCTTGATTTCGAATTCGATTGGTTCGTCTCGCTACTAAAACTAAGCTTATTTCAAACAATTTATTCCCTTTTTTTACTTTGGTACAACAAGACGTAATTGATCTAAAAAATGTGATGTATTTGAGCTCTAAATTTCGAACAATCTGGTTAAACAAACTTTTCAAGGCACTTTTTATGAAATTATTAAAAGGTCAATTAAATAAAAGTTAAAATAGACATAAGGTGATAATTGTACATGAAGAAGAGAGAGAATTAACGTAATTTAGCAAGAATAAAAAGGGTAAGAAATTGTCACCTACCCTAGGCCATAACATGGCTTTAAAGAGAGATTGATTACTCCTGTAGGTTTTGTAGTTTTATAGTGCTTAATCTTCGAAGCTGCTTAGTTGAATTACTATCCTTTTTGAAATAGGATTTAGTTAAAGCTGAGGATTGTGGACCATCACAGTGGTTACTGCCTAGTCGTTAGTTCTTTGGATGGAATGTAGGCATAATAAAAACTTATTTGTAACTGCTCTTTATACTAACTTCATCGAGTGATGTTAGATTAGTAGATTTTCATTTATTTATTTCACTGGAGGTAATTCGTGAACTAATTTATTTGCATATTTTGAATTATTGACATTGAGATCCTAGTGGCATTGGGCTTCTGGTATTGGTCTCCTCAAAATTGAGAAGCCGTAACCCTACATTCTGGAACCAAACTCAGTCCCCACTCTGGTACATGTTTACATCACTTCAAGAATTCACACCACTAGCACAAAATCGTCAGGGAGAATGCCAGAGCAGTATATTTGGAGGTAGTATTAATTGTAATATATATGATTAATCATGTAGGAGAAAATATATATGAGCGAAATAATAGCAGAAAAGTTCTATGAGGAATTTAGAAACTTAAGCTCTAAGGGATAACTTATATGACTGAACTGTACTGGTCGATTAGATTAGGACGACACGGGCGTTCAGTGCTTCTATATGGTGGTCTAATATTGATCAATTCATGATATCAATGCAAACAGTTAAATGAATGTCTACTTATTTATACATGAACTATAAGTTAACAGTATTGAAATGTGATAGTGAATTCCGAAATACTTTTTTGTATGACTGTAGTCACAGTATTATGCAATAGTTGTAAATTACATGAGGTTAGGCGATGCTTACAAGATCGAAGCTCCTGGGTTCGATTCCAGGTTTCTGATAGCGGTCTAACGCAGATCAATTCATCATCTTAATGTAACTCAACAATCTCCGCAACCCTATGACGAAAATTAGCTATCTGCACCAAATATAATTTTTTTAGGGGAATAAAAATATTGTTTTGTGAATAAACAAGAACTGACTTTAATATTAGAATTTATTAATTCGCTTAAATTCATTTAATAATGTTGACATTTTTGATTGTGTTGGGGATGTTAGATCCCCAAAATTCGCATGATAATGCCGTATTTTGGTTTTTACGTTTCGCCAGCAGGGGCTGATCAAATGACCTTGAGATTTCAATTCCCACCAGCAAAATCAATGGCTGTGATTGGCTACAGTGTATTTTAGTATGCTATTTTCTTAACTGTCTCAAGGACGTTGTTATGTTGTATAAATAAACGAGAGTTGTGTGCTTGATTGTACTGGGATTGCTGGGTGCTTGTAGAATATACTTTCTACGCCTACAAAGTCTTCTATTTCGATTCTGGGATTCAAGGTAGCCTTCCTGGAAGCTGGTAGAAGTATCGTTCGCGTTTATCGACTAAGGTAAACTCGTAATAGCATCAAGCATACTCCTAAGTGACAAACATATCAGTGGCGACGGGGTAAAAACCATATCCACAAAACATATCAGTGGCGACGGGGCTCACAATTCACAATGTCAATTAATCTTGAACAGTTAGAATCTTTACTGGAACGTCAAGGTAAACGATATGAACAGTTTCAGGAACGTATGTTGGAGCTGTTAATGAAACAAATGAATTTGAATCACAGAGGTTTTGCCGATGATTCATGTAATCCGCATACAGACTCGATAGTTAATTCCATTCATGAATTTCATTTTGATGGCCTTGCTGGTGTGACTTTCGAGTCTTGGTTTAAGAAGTATGAGGATTTGTTCAAGGTCGACCTCAACAATCTTGATGACGCCACCAAAGTCAGAATCCTTTTGAGAAAGCTCGGCACAATCGAACACGAACGTTATAGTAATTTCATCCTCCCAAAGAACCCACGAGATTTCTCTTTTGATGCTACAATTGATACGCTGTCGCAAATCTTCTCTGAACAGTCATCTCTCTTTAATATTCGTTATCAATGCCTCAAAATAATCAAGTCAAATGAAGATGACTGGGTAAAGCATGCTGGCTTAGTAAATCGTGAATGCGAACGATTTAAATTATCATCAATGACGGAAGATCAGTTTAAGTGCCTTGTGTTTGTGTGCAGCTTACAATCTCCCGACGATGCTGATATAAGAACCAGAATCCTAAGTAAAATTGAACAGTGCCCAAACATCTCGCTTCAAGAAATAACTGCAGAGTGCCAGAGATTAGTAAACTTGAAGCATGATACCTCCATGGTCGAAAACAAGGGCCTCTCATCATACGTGCATTCCATTAGTGAAAAGAAAAATTCCAATTCGGCCCAAAAACCCAAAATGAATCCACCTTCTGCTTGCTGGCACTGCGGTTCATGGCACTATGTACGGAACTGCCCATTTAGGCAGCATAGATGCAGGAAGTGTAAAGTCATCGGTCATAAAGATGGCTTTTGCCTACAGAAAAAGCCAAAGCGATCCAGAAGTGCTAAGAAGCCTGTTCCTAGATCCAGTACCAATGCATTGAGCCTAATATCTTCCTGCCAAAGCTCATCACCAGGTGAGAGGAAATTTATTACTCTTAATATTAACGGTTATTTGTGTAGAATGCAAATAGATACTGCATCTGATGTCACTATCCTCTCACGCAAAAATTGGACCAAATTGGGCAACCCAAGCCTGCAGCACACAACACAAAAGCCGCGTACAGCATGTGGTAATTATCTTCGTCTGTTAGGACAATTGGAATGTAAAGTTGCTTTTCGAGATTCGTCGTTTACTGGGGTATGCTATATAACGCCAGCTGATCTAAATTTACTTGGTTTAGATTGGTTCGACCAGCTAAAATTGGCTGATGTCCCGCTAAATACCATATGCAACCTGGTATCACAACGACATGACCCAGAAGCGTATACGAAGAACCACGCAGAATGTTATCTGACAACCGCAGTTCGCGCATTACCGGTGTCTACAACAGACATACAAAATGCTTCTAGAAACGACCCCATCATCAAGATGACGATGAAATATGTCACTAACGGTTGGCCGTCGAAAAAGTTTGAAGGTGACATGAAGCAACTGTATCAACGGCGGGAGTCACTATGCATCGTCAACGATTGTCTCATGTTTGGTGAAAGAGTAGTGGTTCCAGAATCCCTTCGTGCAAAAGTGCTGAGACAGTTTCATCTTGGTCATCCTGGGATTAAACGAATGAAGTCCATAGCCAGGAGTTATGCATACTGGCCTCACATGGATCAACATGTCACAGCGTTGGTTGAAAAATGCATGCGGTGTCAGCAGGCGGCAAAGATGAATGCCAAAATTCCGCCGGTTTCATGGCCCAAACCTGAGCATCCTTGGTCCAGGATACATGTCGACTTCGCTGGCCCAATAAATGGAACTATGTATTTAATTGTCGTCGACGCCTTTTCTAAATGGCCGGAAATCAGCCCCGTTATGCCGCCCACTACAACTAAGACTATACAGCTCCTAACTGAAATTTTCTCACGAAATGGCATACCAGATGTGATCGTATCCGACAATGGCTCTCAATTCACCTCTTCCCAATTCCAGAATTTCTGTCAACGGCTAGCTATTAAACACTTACGCTCGCCACCATACCACCCGCAATCGAATGGGCAGGCGGAAAGGTTTGTGGATACGTTTAAAAGAGCACTGCTCAAGTCAAAAGGGGAGGGGACGCCAGCCGAAACGCTACAAAATTTCTTGTACGTCTATCGGACAACACCAAATGAATTGTTACCGGAGCAAAAGTCCCCAGCTGAAATCCTGATGGGAAGAAGATTGAAAACGATTCACAGCCTGATGCATCCGACCAATGCACCCTCATCAGTAGAGACAAAGCAGCAAAGACAATCCGCTTACGAGGTGGGATGCCCTGTGTTTGCCCGCGACTACAGAACGAACCATGGTCCTTGGGTAGAAGCGAGAGTGGTCAGAAGGGTTGGTCGAGTTATGTACGAAGTAGAGGTAGGAGGTGATAAATGGTCACGTCATCGGAATCAGATACGCAGACGGCTAGCCCCAGATCGCCCATCAAGAGCAGAAAGCCTTCCCCTTGACATCTTGCTTGATACCTTCAACCTACCGAGAGCCCCGCCACGAGAAGAAACTCAGCAGCAAGCTGTTCTTCGTTCCCGAAGGTATCCCCTCAGACAGCGGCGAACAATAGTCAAGATGCAAGTCGACCCCAGGAGAACAAGCTATTAAAAAGGGGAGGAGTGTTGGGGATGTTAGATCCCCAAAATTCGCATGATAATGCCGTATTTTGGTTTTTACGTCG